ATACATGAATAAAAAAATTGACATTATTTATTTTAAAAGAAAACAAAGCTAGAACTCGAAAATTGGAAGAAGAAGAAAAAAAAAAAAAAAAAAAAGTTCTCCTTTAAATGCATTTAAGTGTGGCCCATTTAGATCCCACCTGCATTTAAAAGGGACTTTGTTGAGCTCAACTTTTCGTACCATCGTCCAAATGAATATGAAGCTGATTGTGGCAAAGGGGCCTCGGTTTCATCTTCCTAGCTAGCTTTCTAGCTCTCCTTTTTCCCCCTAAAGTGACGACATAGATCTGAGGGATCATTATACGAATATACAGATGTAAAGTGTAATTTGATTGGAATGGTGTATTGCCTATCATGCACAACCACGTGTATCTATATATATATCTATATATATATATACACACGCACATAAATCATGGCAACTATGCTCAAATCAAATCATGCAACTTTTTTTTTTTAATTGGATTTGACCACTCAATCCCAAACTATAATTAATTAACAATAAAATGCCAACTTTTCGTAATCAAAAATTAATTAACTAATTAGTCAATTAATTATTGATTACGAAAGTAAAAAAATCAAATCAAATCATGCCAACTTTTTTTTTTTAATTGGATTTGACCACTCAATCCCAAACTATATAATAATTTTTTTTATGAATGATACTTAACTATTCATCTATAAAGATATATATTGTTCTAAGTGTTGATATAAAATAATAATATATGAACACATCTTTTTTAATTACCAAATCAGAGATGATGGGAGAATACTCACTTACGAAATAACAATTGATAAATTAAATACCATACTAATTTTGTAATTAAAAAAGGACATGTATTGGTCCATATCATCGATCAGGATAGTGTAGATCCTCAGCAGTGAGTTCTAAATATTTTTTATATCTTATTGCCACTATTCACAACCCTCTTATGAGGTCCACCAACGATCTGGGCTTCAAAATAGGGCCGTGAATGGTGAAAGTCGACAATAATATAATTCCTCACACAGTGACAGTATGGAGAGTCAACAAGAATACAATTTTCTTTTATTATTTTGAATTCCTCCTACGGACAAAACTTGTCTATTCATCTGTGAGTAAGTTATTATGTGTGATTGTATCACATTAACGATAAGTAGGGCTGATGTACTCTCCGATTAGTAGACAAGTCTTATCCTTCTTTAACTTAATTAACCTTCGTACAAACTATTACGGAGTATAATATATTATACACGAAGATTAGGGTTAGCTGCTTTTTACTATTACCATATATAATATTACCGGCAAAGACGGCTAACTAGCCTAGTATATATACAGTATATTCTAACAAAAATCAATGATTTTTTAGCAGCATAGGGGACAAAGAGATAAAAAAATATCAACCATCAAGAATTCGTAGACAAATTGATGTTGTTTGGATATATAATCATCCATCAAAGTCTCTCTGTACATCCCCCACAAAAAAAGGGAAGAAAACAGAAGAGGCTTTGATCTGAAAGCCCATAGGAATGAGCAGAGAGTTTGAAATTTTGAATGAATGTGGAACCCACAGATAATAATTAGGGAATGTGAAAAGCCAATTATTGAAAAAAAAAAATTATTTTCGTTTAATCACCAAAAGCATATAAAGACAAATATTTATAAAGGTGCATGGATCGGAATAGCTTTCAAGGAAGAGGCAAAGATGGCTACATTTTCAGTAATGTGACATATTGCAGATCTTCTACGAAGGATCGCAGCATTGTTTGAAAGAGGCGTCAAGAGTTAAAAGTACCCATCAAAATCACATTTTTACCCATCGCATACTCTTTATGTATTATGTGGTGACTTTTTAATCATCTTTTTTGTATATATATATATATATGTGATGATGTTACACATTTATGTTAGAGGATGTGAATCCACACTGTGTGAATTACAAGTTGCATAATTTCACATCGTTTAAAATAATAAAGATGAGTTGTTTATATGTATTTATATGATCTTCAAATGGTATGAAGTTTTTAAGGGTAAAATTTCATAACAAAATTATGCAGGCTCGGACTCAAATTAATAAGGAATGATTGTGGCAGGACCTTTGTGGACAGGTATGAATAAGTACTCTTATTATTTTGTTATACGAGAGATGTCTCTACTCTTTTGGTGAGATTAATACCGTTTTAATTCATCTTATTTCATCAGATCGAGGATGTGATATGGTTCCGAATGATGAATCGGATATGGTCCGTCCCAATAAGATTTCATTCTTGATCAAAAGTCCATTTTTAAAATTTTTTTCATCTATTCCATGATTGAAACGAGAGAGAATATACGTTACACTACAATTTTTTGAGATCAGAATCAATAACCCTACCGACAGTTATATGAGATTTAACATCTTGTCTTCTGTGCATGGCTTCACTTTTGGTTTTTTTTTTTTTATCAGTACTCTTGCATTCCTTCTCTTTAACATTCACTAATCGATTTTTTCCCCTAATTGCATTCACTAATCGATTCCTTTAACCAAACCAAAAAAATTAAAAAAAAAAAAAAAAAAGTTCATTCTCTCATTATTTTAAATATTTGTATATGTGAATTCACTTGTTATAAAGTTTTGTGTGTACATCAATATATACAAACAAACCGAAGCTATTTAAATGTGTGAACGTGATGACATGAGAATATTCACGTCATTTCTTTGTCTGGAAAACTTGTCATCTCATAGCCAAACAAATATTCTGCCTTATAAATTACACCATCCATGAAAGGACTTGAAACAATATTATACAATACCATAATTTAATTACCAGACTAACTAGAAGAGTAATGCTTATAATGCTCATTAAGAATTTTCATTAATTTTTAATACATTTCTAATTCCGAAATAAATTAAAAAATCATTTTCACAAACTCGAGGAGTCTTTTGTGAATGTGTATGCAGATCACCTCCCCCTTTAAAAGAGAAAAAAGAAAAAGAAAAAGAGGAGAGGTTAATCATAAAGGACTATACAATCTTGGAATATTTGCTTGCCATAACTGCAATATAGCAAAATTATTTTTCTTCAAAAAATTGAAAAAAAAAAAAACAGAAGAGGATCACTCTTAACAACTATTTACTCCAATGAATTATATTATTAGTCTATTCTAGGGTCGCGAGCCGAAAACAGTATACATATAGAGTGTATAACCTCCTATATATTTTGAAATGATTAATTACACTGACACCTCCTCATATTTGATTAAATAACACATTGAAACATCTTTCGAAAATAACTATTACTTACATTATAAATTATTTTTGATCTGTCTTTCACCCACACACCAAAAGTTACTTTTCATTTGTGTCAGATTACTTTTTACATGTAAAAAGACATTGTAACACTTTAACTTTGTCAAAATTCACTTTAACCCTAACAAAATCATTTAAAAGACCAAAATACCCATAGTTTTTCCCAAATGAATCACTCATCAGATCATCCAAAAGAATTTTAAAAATATAAACATATATAAGTTTTGTACATATATGTGTGTGTATATATACATATATATTTGCCGTTTCACCTCTAACTGTTAATGGGGTGTTTTTTTTCTCTCTTTTTATAATTATCTTAAATAAAGAGATGAAAGATATATACACACACATATACATATACCACTTTCATATGAATACACAATTACCCATGTTTATATATCTTAATAATATATACATACATATATATATACACACACACACACATACATATACAGTTATACACAGAGGTTTACTTTCAGAGGAGGTGCACAGAGAGAAATCATAGTTTTCTTAAACACCCATTTGATTATTATTCCTATATATTTTATTTTGGACTTTAAATGTTCGAGAAAAGGCAATAGAGATTGATGGAGATGGCTAATAAGAGTTGAAGTATTTGAAGTATTTTACAGATACAAAGAATGGTAAAACAACTCATAAAGGGGTTTGTGGTTGTGGAGTTGTAGAGAGAAACATTAAAAGAAAAAAAAAAAAAGGAAAGAAATTCACGAGATTTTCGGCGATTGAAAATCCGAGTGGGTTCTTTCATTTTTAGTACAAATTGCTCCAGAAAGTTATATATATATATATATATATATATATATATATATATATATATATATAAATAGATACATGATAGTGAGGGGATTTGAGCGCTTCTTTGAATTTCAGAAGGTAGGTTTGAGACCTTTTCGACTTTTTCTCTTGGTGATGATTACTTCTTTTTCAATGGCTTTCATTGGATTTTGTCTGGAAATTTCTGATTGTTTGACAAGAGAAGTAATGTGTTACAGTGAGAGAAAGCAAGAGAGAGGAAAATGACTCCTTTTTTATTTCAAATGGGTTGGTGTTAGACTAAGGGTATTTTAGTCTTTTTAATTTTTTAATATTTTGAAATAAAAAGTATTAAAATATTGAGGGTAGAAATTTTCATTTTGCACGATTTTAATGGTGTCATTGACTAAAAAATAATTGAGGGTTTGAGTAATAGTAATTATAGAAAGGTGTTTTTGTGTGAAATTTGGCCAAACTTAAACAGGTGTTAACCCAAAAATTTAACATTCAATTTTTGATCAAATAAGGACTTGAATGCTGAAAAGATTAAAGTATCCCTCTATAATTGAATAAAAAAAAAATTATAATTAAATATGAAATGACAAAAGTGTCCCTCTTTTTTTTTTCTTCTTCTTTTCTACAAGGACATTATTAGAAAATAAAATGGTATTTTTAAAATTTTATATCTTAAAAATGTCATAATTGCAAATTACTAAATTTGTAATCAAATAGTGACCTCAAGCATTTCTTTAATCATTTTTCAAACTTAATGCACTTATATACCCCAAAAACTTTAGAAATAATATTTGCCCAAAATTTAAACATTAGAGGTGTTTTTCTCACTTTGCTGTTTATTATATTATTATATTAAATCTTGCATTTTTTTCGACTACTCTTTTAATTAAGTGGGCGGGCACTCAAATCAATTACTATGATTTTAAGGTTAATAGTGGGACTAATTCAAATTCAGGACTCTATCCACTCTTTTTATACTATGTCAACAATCAATTCCTCCAAGAGTAAAAAATAAATAGATAAAAAAAATAGTAAGAACATAGAAAATATGAAATTCATGCTTAATTATATAGAATGACCCAAATTACACAATAAAAACTTAGGGTTCTAAGAACAAAACAGCTTCTTCTTGAATTCTTCCGAGCAAGTGATTCACGGCGTCGGCGATTTCATCTACTGTATTCAGCTGGCACCCATCCTCAACCTGTCCAAATTGGAAAAACACAAAATTAAAAACTATAATATATATATATATATATATATATATATGATTAGAGGACAATTTGATCAAAGAAATACATTATATAATAACTGTATTAATTAACTAACCCTAACATTAAGTGAATAGAGGACCATTTGATCAACTGTAGTAACATTAAGGTGAAGAACAGTGAGCCTAAGACACTGAAGGCCAGCCACCATCTTCAAGAGCTGTCTAGGTCTTTTCTTCGAAAGAATCTTGAGGTTGGCATGGCTCTCCACCATGGTCACTTCAATGTCAGCCAACGCCGACGGGCTCTCGGACACGGCCTCATTGGCCATCGTCGCCGGCGAATTCTTGTGGTCATGAACTGAACGAGTGGAGTATTGTGGGAAGGCGAAGAAATTGGCGAAAAGTGGAGAGAAGAAATCATTGTTAATGTTGGGATGTACTTGATCATCATTCCTCTTATGGGCTTCTAGGGTTTGGAGGTGTTGCTCTAGCTCTTTCACAAAATTAATGGCTCCTCCAATAATTGATGCTTGGTCACCCTGCAAAGTTTGTTAAGATTTAAAAAGAGTAATATAATAGTACACACGTCATGGAAATTTTTCTCTTTCTTCTCGAGAAAGGGTTAGGTGCACACGGGTTCGAATCTCTCCCCTCCTCTTTTGAGATGAGAAATTATACGAAATGATTAGATGCTCAATAAATATCATTACTATGAGTTTGTATTTAATCAATCGGGATTCGTAAACTGAATAGTCTAGCTAGATGAGCTATTTCTATCCCTACATTAGATAAGACCAAAATTTTGATTTTTTCTATTTGGATGGAAATGGTAAAGATTCTCCGATTGAACTATTAAGTCTGAATAATATATTCAATAAAGATTAAAGAAAGGAAGAGAAAAAATCAATCTTATACCCTTTGAACATAAGAAGATGGCATCAATGATCGGATAACGGAGAGGTACTCGTTCATCTGTTTTCGTCGGTTGCGCTCGACGGTGATGTGGGTCATCCTCTGGTTCTCCAATTCCTCCTTGTTCTTGCAGCTCTTGGTACGCCGCCGTTTGCGCCGACCGGATGTGGCGGCGGCCACGGGTGGTTCTGGTGAAGAATTGGGATCCCATTCCTTCACATTTTGCATGGCTGAAGAAGATGAGGAGTCCAAATTATTCCCATTATTGAGACCTGCATGCTCCATATTTGCAAGAACCCCAACAAGATCAGCTTTATCTTCTTCTTCTTGCAAATTACCAAAGTGATCATAGTGCCAAACACCACCTTCTATCAAGTTGTAAAAGTACTCCTTGCTACCATAACCAAATTGGTCTTGTGGGTAAACCACAGTTTCTAATGCCATCTCTCTCTCTCTCTCTCTCTCTCTCTCTCTCTCTCACACACACACACACACACCCCTCTATTATTTTCTCTCCCTAGTTTGCATGTAACACATATGTGTGTGAAACTGAGAGTGAGACTAAAAGGTTGTATTGAGAGGCTTAGAAGAGAAGAGGGTTTGGAGCTAAGTAACTGTTTGTTCTTCCTAAGAAATTTATGTAAGGAGAGAGATTGAAGCATAAATCTAAACACTACATGCCCAAAAGACCAAACAAACTAGCCTTTTAAGTACCCCTTCTATGGTGGACAATGATGGAGCTCTTAAAGACAATAAACTGATTAATTATTAGATGGTTTTGTGTGGTCTCTCATTAATTTGGTAGCATAGTTTAATCAAAGCTATATATTGTTTAGATTTCTTTAAAATATACTTTAATCACACTTTAATTTGTGATCAATCCAATATAATTGATAGGAAAGAGTGTGAATTAAAGTACTCAATCACCGAAGGTCACTGGTCTCACGCTATCTAATAATTGAATTATGATTACTTCGGATTCCGTGTTCACGTAAAGTTGTTAAATAGGAGATGATCTAAATTAATAATTATTTTATTTTAGACTTCGTTTGATCACATTAAAATATCAAGAAAGAAAAGGTAAATGAATTTTTAAAGAAAAGAAAAATTACCATATAACTTTCTCATAAAATTTTCTTTATAACAAATTATTTTTTCTGATTTCTTGACAACGTTTCATAAATTTACAATAATGCCTTTTCTATGGTTTCATACCTTTCAAACCATAAAATGTGATTTTTCGTAACTTTCTTAAAAAATTTCATGCTAAATAAATAGACAATTTTTTTTTTCTTTTGGAAGTATTCACTTCAAATTCTTTTACTATCAATTTACACTACTAATTTTTATCCATCCAAACAAAGCCTTAAGCGACCTTAATAAAACAAAGCTGCAGCGTATTACACGTGACCTATTGTAAGGTGGACCACTCTTCACAAGAGGAGAGAGAGAGAGAGAGAAAAAGAGAAGTCCAGAGAGAGAATTTTCTGAGAGTTGCCCACTTGGACTGTGATGGCACCACACGTTGATACTGTTTTTGTGGGACCCACAAAAGTCCAAAGATGGTAATCTGACGGTGGGACCTCAAGGAGGACGTACACCACAGAAGAACTCTTTTGCTGCCTAGCATTGTACTATTACTACAGAACATGACAAACATGTGCAAGGACGGTCATGTCCTCTGTCAGCTTTATGTTTTCTGTTCGGTGCTAACAAGGCTAGTTTTGTCTTTTCAGTTTCCTTATACAGATGGCTTAAATTAGTCTCAGCAAGAAAAGACGTGCCAAAAAATTGGTAGCCTTCGCTTCATTTGGCAATAATATGGTCGGACTCTGGCACAGAAGGAGAGAGATAATGACGAAGAGTTGATGGGAGCTGAGAGATTCTAGAGAGAGAAAGATAGAGGAGAGAGAGAGAGCTCAGGTGTCGGACATGTGAAGATGGCAGAGGGAATCCATGTGACTAACACTCTCTTTCCCAAAACTATTGTCCTATTAATTTTATTGTGATTAATTAATTAATACTCTTAGTTTTAGAGCAAATAGTACTAATTCCAATAAGACATTCTCACTAAAATTTCAATTCTTCTATTTCTTGGTTTCTCTTTCCAAGGGATTTTTACTTGAACCAAGGTTTTTTACTCATATAATTTCTTTTTAGGTAAATTACTAATCTCCTTTGCTAATCTTTCTTATGATTTCACAACATGGTCATATATTATCAGTTAACCAAATGCATAAAATGACAATTATACTTATTGTATTTTTATTTTTTAATGTAAAATATTTGTCTTTTCAAGTTTTTTAAGGCTAAAATTAGGTTTTAAGTAAATTTCAAGTATTTTACATCAACCGACAATAGTGACGAATTTTAATATTTTACGATAGGAGACCAAAGTTATAGGGGAGATCAAATGTTATTTTGACTTTAAAAGGAAAGTCATGTTATTTAGGCATTCAAGAAGGGAGGTTGATGTAATTTACTCTTTTTTTTTTCTTGTCAACATTTTTACATTTAAGACACCATGTGTTTCATTTGGACTCAAATTAAACGATTTTAACGAAGGTTTGCTTTTACTAATCCATAAAATTTGTCCCTCCTATGTGCAGGGATGAACCTACATAAAACGTCCTAAGTCTTACATCTTAAGCCCGTCCTTCTCTAAGCATAAAAAAAAAATGCTAATCAAAGGTACATTTTTATTGAATAAATGTATTAATGACATGAGATGTGTGTTCTTAGTCCATTTCTTGATAGTAAGTGTATGATATCATTTGATGACTACTTAAGTCATTAAGAGAATGCAATTTAATTGAATAATGTGAATTCCTTACTTGGATTGTTTTCTTTCTTGAGATTTTCTTTGGGAAGCAATTTGGAACTGTTAGGACATTATTAGAGATTAAGTATTCTCTTGGAGACTAATAAAATTATTAGTAATTAAGCACTAGTCTCGAGCTCCGTGTGTACTTTTATAGTCTCACACATTAATACACTTATTCTGGTGCATGTGTGTAATATATATGTGTGCGCGCGCGCGCGCAACTCGTTAGGTAACATTAATCCATTACAAACAAAAGACAAATTATCTGATTTTCTACGCATGTATCAAGAAATTAGGGAACATTGAACCCAAATAATGAGGAAAACGCATTGATAATTAGCAAGTTAGGTGAGTCTTCTATCCAAGAAGAGAAAATTAATAGTTAATCATACTCCAAGTCTAGAAGATCAAGCATTGTGACAAATTAAATAAGAAATTTTTTGAAGTATTGGGAGGAAAATATATATATATATATATATATATATATATATATATTAGATAACTCAGGGTATTCGAAACTTCGCCCTAACTAATTCCTGAAAATTTAGAAAAAACGTCTCTCCACTTCAAGCAGGATAAGTCACTGAGTATGACAGCGAAGATGCAGGAAGTTGGCTTAAAAGCTTTGATGTCTTAAGGTCAACAACAAGAAAGAATCCGCCCAGTCATCATCGAGGGAGAATCGCCGGTGACTTTCGGTGTAGGAGTTGTGTTGCTCAATGAGAGAAGTCGTACGCCTGTACCAATAGGTTATACCAAGGAATGTCCCAATCTGACTCAAAATTTGATGGCGCAATCTTCCATCCGATGAGCTTGTTTGCTTTAAATTTCTCAAAGCAAAAAGTAGTATGTTTCGGATGTCGATGGAATTCCTTCGAAGCCCTCTCTCGCAGTATGAAGATCAGTTTCTAGCTCGTCATCAATCTCCTAGTGGGAATCGGATAGAACCAAAGTTTAGGTGATTTTATCACTAGGCCAACCCCCTTGGGGTTGGAGGGAAAATATTTTGTTTAAAAGAAGTTTTCATTTTTATTTTTATTTTGAAAGGAATATAAATTTCTGACATTTAAGATGTGAGGTGAGAGTATTACCTTATTTTCTTGGAGTTAATCACTTTAACTTTAATATTCTACCATTTCCGTATAACACTGTCAATTACCCATATTCTGTCAATATATATATATATATATATATATATATATATACACACCCATATGAATTACATCATGTTTTGCGAAATTCACGCATTGAGACTAGAATTATGGATCATACATATTAGTTTAAATTTTAAATTAAAATATTTTTTCAATTCTATTTGTAAACGTGAATGTTTTATACTTCAAAACACGAAATTAATTAAAAAAAAAATACTAATAGAATATGGGCAAATTTACAAAATAGCGGGAAAAAATAGTTAAATCTCATTTATTTACCCCCCAAAAATAAAAGTTAATAATTAACAGAGATTAGTAATCATTTGCACATGGCACCAATATAGTTGTCCTCTTTAGTTTAAGCATTTGCCCAAGTTTGCAATCATTCTATAAAATCCATACATCAAATGTTTTTATGTTTTTTTGAAAGGTTTTATACATCAAATGTTTTGACATATGATGGACATGGAATGTACCTGTCAAATTGCAAGTTAATTATGTTCCTACCTAAGACGGCAAACAGACTAGTTAATTGAAAACTAAATCACATTAGACTATGAAACGATTTTTATATAAGTTCCTAATAAGCTAAGTTACATTGAGTGGGTGCAAGAGTGAGAGTATGAGCACGAAAGTGTCAAAATTCAAAATATTTAAGAGCAGGAGTGTCTATATATATATATATATATATATATATATATATATATATGGGTTAAAATTATAAAATCCCAGTCTTAAACTTTGATCATAAAATTCCAACCTATTTTTTTGAAAACCCCTACACTTTTAAAAAATGACCACATTACTCCAATGTTTATATCAGACCCATTAACTAAGGTATGAAATGACAAATTTAACTTTACTATTTAATGTTAAATTAAAAATTAAAAATTATTTTTAAAAATTGCAAAATACCCTTTAATCTTCTTTTCACCCCATTTCTCTCTCTAAAACTCTCACCACTCTTTATCTCTCTCTAAAATATATATATTTTTAATTTTAAAGGGTATTTTTGTAATTTTAAAAATAATTTTTTAGTTTTTAATATAACATTAAATAATAGGGTAAATTACACTCAGACCCCCTGAGGTTAGGTTATATTTCAGTTAGATGAAAATTTTGGTTTTAACTTTCACTTGCACTCCAATTTACTTTTTGGCATCTAATTCATGCGAAATGATCATTTTATCCTCAATTTTTTTAATACAAAATATATATAATTTTAAATGACAAAAGAGCCCTCATTCTCTCTCCCTTCTCTTTCTTGCGACGGCCTTCACCAAGATCATCATCGTCACAATCAAGTCTGCGGATTCCTCCATCGTCGAAATCCCTTCCTCTTCCAACACCCAAAATAATATTTTAAAGACAGATTAAAACTTTAATTCATTACAAAATAAAGCCCTCCCCCTCTCTCTCTCCTCTGATTTCAAACATTGCCATATAATCTCTCCCTCCATCGTCTTCTTTGTACTTTTCATTCAGATTTTATGGGTTTTCTTAACCAATTTGCGT